TCACCTGTATCTATGATGGTGTGAATCCAGGTTCATGTTCACCTGTATCTATGACGGTGTGGATCCAGGTCCACGTTTGCCCCATATCTAGGATGATATAGATCCAGGTCCATGCTCTTCTATGATGGTGGTGTGAATCCAAGTCTGTATTTGTCTATGATGATGGTGTGGCTCTGGGTCCCAATTAACCCTGGGTCTACGACTGTCCATGGATCTGTGGTTTATCACAGTTGAGTTCTACTTCTACTGGCTTGACAGTGTACCTTGGCTGCATATCTGTCTAGAATGTTCCTGACAGTGTATAGCTTCCTATGACTTCTGTGGCCAGGGACTTCTGGAGTAAAGAACAGTGAAGACAGGGAAAAAATAGATCATACAAACTTCAGTGTTCAGGCCCAGAGACCAGATGATATCCAGCCACCACTGCTGACCACACAGTGACCATAGCAGACAAAGTAGGAACAAAATCTCAAAACCATAAACCAAACTAGGTTTGCAGGTCCACCAGATAGGCAGGAGGACTCCTGGGACTGAAATGACCCCACACCTCAGCTTCCAGGTAAACAGACAGGTCGATGAGGGTCACACCGCCAGGCAGGCAACACTCCTTTGGATCAGCCACATAAGACCCAAGGGCAGCACCCCCAAGGAGAAAGTTCAGAAGGCAGGAAGGGGAAGGTTAAGCCAAGGGAAATGGGATATACACGGAGAAAGCAGGCAGAGTGCTATTGCAATTAGTAATTAGTGTCATGAGACAGAGTGAGGGTGACTGCCGTATGCAAAGCCCATTTAAAGCGGACTTGAAGGAATGGAAGTTCAACCATGTTTCTTACCCTCAAGAGCATCCATCTCCTCTCAACCATCTAATACAATGCTTGGCTCCTGACCCACACTGGAACGAGCTGCATACGTGAAAACACACATCCCTGGAAGTCTTACCACAGTTGAGCTGAAATCATTAAATGGCCTCAGAGCCCTCGACCCTGGCCCCCACACCACTGAGTTGGCTGGGGTCGAGCTGGCCCAGGGGAGACAGCACAGGATACTGTGTGGAAGCCATAGCCTGGACCACTGTGTACCTCTCAGCAAAGACTTCTCGCTAGAAAAGGACAGTGGATTGGAGTGGAGGCTCAGCACAAGCAAGGGAGACCCTCCCTGAGGTCCAACAGTGGACTCACACACCAGCCCTGACAAAGATGCTGGGGACGGGACAGTTCTCCTGTAGGAAAGGTCACAGGTGGTAGGTGGGGTGCTCAGTTGTGTCGCAGGTAAGGTCACCACAGTGACCCTGTGACTGTCAGCAACAAGTGCAACAGCCTCAAGTATTTCTTGTGTGGCTGATGGACAAGGGTGAACCCTAGATGGTCACACAATGTCCTGCTTCCCACTCCTGCCCCTGCCTGGTGACCCACTCTAGGACGTGGGCAGTGCCCTGTAGAGGTAGCCTTGTGAGTCAGTGCTTGCCTGGACCTGTTGCCTCTCCTGATTCAGATGTTTGCTGACGGCTCAGTGGTCTCTGTGAACGTGGACGGTATTCTGGGTGACTCAGCTGGAGCTGAGATAGTGTGCCATCACTAAGTGACTCAGTAGCAGCTGCTGGACAGAAGACAGATGGACATAGGAAGGATGGACCTACAGAGTGGCCAGGCTCTGCACTGCTGATAGCCGACTGGTGAGGAAACACCAGGGATCAGAACAGGCCTGGTGAGGTGGGGAGCTTGGAGAGCAAGGCCTTAACAGAGCAGGACAGGGTGGGACCCATCCATTCTTGGGAGTGAGGGCAGTAGGGTGGGGGACAGGGTGGAGGTACTCTGCTGAGGAGGGCCATAAGAGGTCAGGATGAGGTGGGACACAGTCACCAGGTATGGGCCATAGTGGGAGTGGAAGAAGGTGAGGCAGGTGGCACCGTGCTGGTAGTAGCTCTTTGCTGGCACCAGGTAACTTAGGGCTGAGGACCAGCAGGACCATGGGGGTCTACTTGGGACACACAGAAGCCTTCTGGGAAGTGGCTGCGGTCACTGTCTTGTCATTAACTCTCAGCCACCTTGGTGTCTGAGTGACGACGCTGCACCACTTGCAAGATGTCTTTCAAACACAGATGGGTCAGCCCGGGCGCTGGCTGACTTGAAAAGAAAGAACCTTGAGTGGATGGGATGTCCCTCTGAGTGAGCCCTGTCTTGTTGGGGTGCTTTTTCAGGTGTCAGATCCAGAGCCAGTGCCCAGAACAGACGGACGGACGGACGGACAGACAGACAGACAGACAGACAGACCAATGCCCAGAGCTGCTAGGTGCCCAGAGCTGACTTGCAGCCCAGTGCAGATGGGCAGTCCAGAGGCCCCACCTGTGAACCCAGGAGTCCCCAGAATTTCCTGGTTCTGTCCCCTAAACCTGCATGAGAGACCCCGTGGAGACCCCTGTAAAGGCATGCTGAAGGCCCACGATTCCAGTAAGCAGACTCCGGGTGAGTGAGGATGAACCCAGCCTGGGAGTCTGTGGGGTTCTGAAGGGCGTGGCTCTGTCACCCAGAGAAAATGTACAACCACTGTCCACGAAGGAACAGAGGTCTAGTCCCTGGGGAGATGAGCAAAGTCCCCAAAACTAGAGCCAGGCTGGGGGTCAGCTCTTGTGAGGACCTGACAAGACTCTGTGTATCAAAGGTGGTTTCTCCGCGTTAAGCAGAGAAGCAGCAGGAAGAACCGCTTGACTCCTGACTCCTGCAAACTTAACCGATGCTCCCAGAGCTACAGGCTCCCCGGAACCTCGCCACCCACAGCAGGAACACCTCGCGGGGACTATGGCCAATGTGCTGCAGG